TCCCATGCAAAGCCCAACAAGTGTCTCGGTTGTGGCCATTCTTGTCACAATAGGTGCAATGTGGTCTAGATCCCTTTCCTTTTCCCTTTCGAGAACCACTCTGTCCTTGCTGATTTCTTGCCTGAACAGCTGATTTTGATGCTTCTGCCATTGTAATCAAGAGAAGTGAGAGATAAATCCAAAATTGTAGAAACACCCTCTGTCAGAGTTGAATCACCAACAAGAAGGAAGAACTGGAGGAAACCGATCGCCTGAGAAGAACCAGAAGATGCTAACGAACCAGGAGAATCAAGAAATAAACTCCCCAAAAGCAAAGAGGAGCACCTCCTTTAAAGATATGTTTTAAGGTTTCTGAAATAGATGGATTCAGAAGAAGAAGAAGGCCAAGAACCAGGTTGGCTCTGATACCATGACACAATAGTGTTTGTGAAATATGTTGCTTGATTATTTCCCCAAGCAAAATGAGAATTTATACAATGTACAAGTTACATGAATTTGGAAAGAATTGATCCTAAATAATCAAGGATATACACACAATATTAGTCTACCATATTTACACAAATCAATCTAGGAAATACTATCTCTATTTTCCTAATATATCTTAATAGTCAATTCAGGAAATAATATCTCTATTTTCCTAATATATCTTAACATAGACACTCCAATTGAGGATCACAAGTTTCTTTGTTATTTTGAGGACCTGAAGGCACATTTTGTCATTCTCTGCCATGCCACAATAGCAGGTGGTCATTATAACATTGATGAAATAATAATATTTGTTTGAGAAAAGTTAAGTTCTCCAGTAGTACTTTTAATAATGGTACCTTTATATGTCATGACTTATTTGTGATGAGGATGCAAAAACATTTTGATAAGAATTCTGTGGCAATTAAACTCTCTACAACTTGCAATTTGCAAAATATTTGTGGTACTGCAAAAAGTTGTTGGCATGATACTAAACTATTTGGAGTTCTATGTTGAAATTATTTAAATTTGTTCCACATGATATAAACTTCATTGGAGGAGAAAAGAGTAATGGTCTAATTTTAATGTTCATGTTCATGTAAAATCAAATAGTTAGAAATTTGGTTTTATTTTCTACTTGCTACTTAAATTAAAGCACTGCCTTCAATGTATTTATAAATGTGGCTCCAACAACATATTCGGTGGAAAACTGAAAATGGATCTGTTGTTGATTTGTTTACCAGCTTCAACTGAACCTCACATTTTGACTGATCCATACTCCTTGCTTACAAAAGAGGAAATAACATGACGGATTTAAAGCAGGGGTCAATCTGCCACTGCTGTTCTCTGTTGTGTTGGTAAGGAGTTTCCACTCCACGAATCAAGGACTGATTTCATTGAAGATATTGTCGGCCTTGTAGCACTTATTGGAAAAGCTTGGACCAGCAAGCTTAGCAGGTCACCATTATGTTATTTTCTTCAAATTTCTTAGCTGAAATGATTACTTGTCCATTAGTCTTCTGTGGTTTATAATCTCTGGTTTATCAATCTTTAGGATGTTAGCGGAGTACTTGGGTGAAGATCAAATGCTTGTTTTGGTCTGTAGATCCTTCAGAGCAGCTTGTGCTCTCGAGGAGTATGAACAAAATGGAGAAGTTAATTGTACACTTGGACTACATGGAAAAGCAACTGAACGTGGAAAGTCTATAGTTGGCCGATTTCTTGTTATATGCCTTGAGGATATGAGGTGCTATATACAGTGTCCTGGTTTCAATTTAGAAATGGTATATTGTTTTGATTGTTGATTTGAGTTAATATTGGTTGACTTTAGGTGTTGTTGATTTAGATTGAGATTTATTGTTGCTGGGTGGATTTTTTATATGTTGATGTCGACGGCGGTGGTAGTTAGCAGATTTCACTGGAGTTGGAGCAGTAACTGGAGCCGGGCTTGGAGAGGAAAGGGGTTTAGAGAGGAGGGAGTGGATTTGAAGGAAGTAAATGGTATTTTCATCGTTACATTGATTCTACCCTGTAATTAAGGGATTTCACTAACGGATCTTAACAGTGAATGGAAATTTTTTTTTTTTTTTTCCCAATACTTTCAGGTTGCAAAACTTACTTACACTAAACTTTGGTTGGGAAATTCTCATTCTCCCTTTAAAAACTTTTATAGTGACTGTTAATATGAATTTCCTTCAAAAGCTATTAGAAATATTTATGAAAAAAAAATGTTGTATGCCTTGGAACTTCTTTATATTATGACTCAATTTTCAAACATGATTATTTGTATAGTGCTATGAAAAAAAAAAAACCAGTGTATCTGCTTATAACTAGTTCTTTATTTGCTTTTCAATTGGGTTGATATATATGGTTGTTTCGGTACATATATGCAGATCACTCAATTGTCATAAGTTGCTACAGCCTGGCTCAAATGTCCTTTTACATTTAAATGGTTGGTATGGGATAATCATTTTAATATCTGTTATGCAATTAACCAAGAAACAACTCACAACCAACCAAACAGAATCAAGAAAGCACACACACAAACAACAATCAGATTTTACCATGGTTCACTTGCCCTATCTTGAGCAAGCTACATCCACGTTGAACTTCGGAAAAGGGGAGTTCTCTACACTACGATTAATAGAAACAATCACTTACAGTCCTAGACTCTAATATGCCCAGAAACCCAACTCACACACCCCTGATTCAACCTGCAATCTGAACCTAGGAATACTCTAACCCTGGAATCCCTAGAACAAGAACACAGACGCTCTTTCCTCAAATCATTACAACTAAAACCACTCAAGATTACACATATTACACCCAGAATTAGATCCAGAATAAAAACCCTAATTTTTGTACAAAGAATACAAAACAGTTCGATGTGTGAAAAGCAACCCTTATTCACGAACGAAGACTTTCTCTTTTTATATTGTTGAGTTGTGGCTAATTCTCATCCGTTGGATTGTCATTGAATCAATGGTCAGGATTCATCTTGAAGCTGTCCAAAACGACTCCGTTTCACTAATATCCAGTACGACGTCGTTTCAAGCATTCACTTCAACAATCTCCACCTTGAATGCTTGAACTCACCCTAGTGCAGCAAACCCAAACCAGTTCCCTCATTGTTCTGGTCGTCACAGATTACCTTACATGCAGTAAGTTCAAGCAGTGCTTGAACTTTGCAGGAGAGACAATCTTGGTTCCCATGTCAGCTGGATTATCCTCAGTAGATACTTTCCTTAGATCGATTATCCCTTGAGTAACTAAATCTCTGACAAAATGGAAATGGACATCCACATGCTTTGTCCGCTCATGATAAACTGGGTTCTTGCTCAAGTGAATTGCGCTTTGGCTGTCTAAATATATGGTTGCCTTTCCCTTTATTAGCTTTGCTTCGGCTAACAATCCTTATAGCAATAAGGCTTCCTTAAACACATCGGCAATGTCAATATATTCTGCTTCCGTCAATGAGAGGGCTACAATACGCTGAAGCTGTGACTTCTAACTTATACAATTTCCTCCAAAGGTGAAGTAATATGACGTGGTGGATTTTCTTGTATCTTTGTCACCTGTAAAGTCAGAGTCTACAAAACCAACCAAGTCAAGTGTATTATGCCTATTACAGAAATCTAATCCAACATTCAAGGAACCATTAATATACCTCAATACCCACTTTAAAGCAGCCTAGTGCTCACTGCCTGGATTAGCCATAAATCAGCTCAGTAATGAAATGGCAAATGACAGGTCTGGTCTGGTGCTGATCATTGCATACATCACAGATCCAACAACATTCGCATAGGGAACTGATTCCATTTTACTAATTCAGCTTTGGTTTTAGGGCATTCACCTTTGTTTAACACAAAATGGTTTGCAAGAGGCATAGGTACCAGTTTTGAGTCTGCCATACCAAACTTAGACACCAGTTTTTCCAGGTATGATTTTTGCCTAATTTTTAGTTCATCTTTGCTCCTGTTTCTAGTAATGTCCATTCCTAGGATTCTTTTTGCATTTCCTAGATTCTTTTTGCATTCAAATTCTGACTTAAACTTTCCCTTTAACTCAAGTATTTTTGACCTGGACTTACTCACCAGCAACATATCATCCACATACAGTAAGAGATAAACAGGCAGGTCCTTATTCGGATTAAAATAAAAACAACTGTCATATCTACTCCTAGTGAACCCTATGCTTAGAATGAAAGTGTCAAACCTCTTGTACCACTGCCTAGGGGATTGTTTCAGTCCATATAGTGATTTGTGCAGGATGCAAACATGGTAAGGGGCTTTATAGTCAACAAAGCCTAAGGGTTGGCATATGTAAATTTCCTTTTCTAAGTTGCCATGCAAGAAGGCAGTGGTTACATCCATTTGTTCTAACTCAAGGTTGTAGTGGGCAACTATGGAGAGCATTAACCTAATGGTCTTGTACTTGACTACCGGGGAAAAGACTTCATTGAAGTCCATTCCCTCCCGTTGGGTATACCCCTTCGCAACTAACCTAGCTTTGTACCTAGGTGGGTCAGTAGCTAAAATACCCTCTTTTATTTTGTACAACCATCTACATTGGATCAATTTCTGGTCCTTAGGTTTGGGGACCAAGGACCAAACAAAAGACAATTAATATTAAAAATAAATAAATAAATAACAATTACAATATACACATTAAATAAAAAATTATTCAAAAATAAATATTTCAAACCTTTGAATTATTTGTTTGGTGAAAAACAATTATTGAAATAAACCCTACCCATAAGCTAATTAAGGTACTCAAGGACTAAAGGATCATTCAAATCAATATCAAACTTTGTCTACTAAAAAAACAATATTCAATATATTAGTAATTAAAAAATTGTAATTAATAAAATTAAAAACAAGTTTACCAATAAGCCAGTCATAATCAACTTTTTATCATCAAGGTCAATCTTCTTGCTCCAAACAAATCTAAGATTCAGTTTCCTTCACGAACACTAATCTAACAAAGAATCAATCACAAACAAATCTGAAAGATTAAAAACAAAAATTAAATCAAAAACCATAATTACCTCAGCCATCTCAACATTTCCAGCGGTTTCAAACAAGCCAGCAAGCTGGGCACTGTCATTTGATGTCCCTTCTTCATGCCATATAAGCACTTCACAATTTAGTATTCAAGCTCATTCTATTACCTGAAACTGCTCAAGGTATAGCTTAACAGCCTTGGCATGTGACAGTAACATGTTGTGCATAACAATGAGGGGCTCTACATCAGAGTTGCCACCAGAACAATTTCAAAATGGTGCTGAACAGTGAGCTGGAGGGTACCATCCCCTAACATATCCCATTTCGCTTAACAAGTTCGGCTCGTTGATGGTTGCCCAACTCTTAACTCGATCACCAAAATTCTCAAAGCATATTTTGGCAAAATGTACGAAATCTTCCCTGCAAGAACACTGAAATCACATACTGTACCAACAAAACTGATTCATCATAACTAAATGAACAAGAAAGGGATTAAGGGATCTTAGAGCAACCAGGTATTGCAATCTTAAAAGCAACAGTACTGAAGAAACCCCTTTAGAGAATGGTAGAACTTAGTTACTAGGCATATATTCAGAACCTACTGAAAATAGAGTCGAGCATTTTCTTTTTAGGGAAACAGAAAAGCTTATAGAGTGTGAACAGAAGTTAAATGAATTAGAGGGCTGAGCCAAGACCCATATCTATCTTCTAGTTCTTGCGGTAAGTCAAAATGGAATATGGTCACAAACGGCTCAATTCCTGCATTTACCAATTCATATTCGTCATCTTCAAGAATATTGTAAAAAAAAAAAACACTAGTGCTTAAGTTATAGATTCATTGAAAAGGATATTACCTCTGAGCAAGAGATGGTCTATAATATTATTATAAAACATGATTCCACTTGGATTAACTTCACCAAATCTGCCTTCTGTTACAGCTCAGGAACATTATCATCAAGTAGTTGAATATTAATCTCACTACATTAACATTCAATTAATTGCTACTAAGAACATACTTGGTAAAATTCTAACCCATGAAATTGAGAACCGGTACGCATTTACTCCAAGTGAATGCATAATCTCAATATCTTCCTGTGAAAATAAATAAGAAATTCATATATGTTGAATAGAAGTTGCAGGTAAGTAAAAAATTAGTAAATTTAACCATTCATTTACCAAGAATCGGTGGTAATGATCATCAGCAACATCTCCATTATCATTAATTTCTTTAATTGACGAAACTATTCAAGTGATTCTTGAGTTCAATCAGCTCCTTTTTCGAATACGACGCGATATAGAAGGTCACGTAATTGCCCAAGAGGAGAAGTGACGGATTTAGGGCAGAAATTGGAGAAGAAGTCGCGGTTGGTGTTGAGAAGTGGATCTGCAATGGCGTCGTCGGCGGTAGGGTTTTGTGTCTTGGGGATTTTTGATGCCAAAGTGACGAGGACTGTAGATTTTAGGAGTTAGTAATTTTTTTAACTTTTTTTACTTGTAAGGGTTCAAACGTTTTTCCATTTAGGGCAAATATTTTTTTTTTTTTTTTTTTAAACCGGGTTTGGGTTTTTGAGATTCTCTTTAATTTTAGATTTATAGGCTCCGTTTGGTTGCCAATTGGGAATACTACTTTTAGTATTCCAAAAAAAGTTAAACAGTAAAATACCCAAAAACTTTGATTTTTGAGAATACTACTCCCAATATTATTTAACTTTTTTTAAACCCCTTAAATTTGATAATTTAATTAAATACCCCTAAATATTTTTTTAAAAATTACAAAAACACCCCAGTAATTCATATTTACCAGATTCCGGCCACCACTGCTGAAAAATGGCCGGAATCTGTTAGGATGGCGCACTACCGGCTGAATCTGGCCGGTAGTGCGCCGATCTAGTCTTTTCCGGTCAGATCCACGGTGGATCTGGTCGGAAAAGGCCAGATCTAAGGCCAAAGATCTGGCCGTTGACGGCCAGATCTTTGGCCGTAATGGTTTATAACGACGGCCAACAAACGGTCGTCGTTGACCATCAACGACGACCGTTTGTTGGTCGTCGTTGACAAGAAAATACGGCCAGATCTGGCCGTAGATCTGGCCGGCAAAGGCCATATCGGCGCACGACCGGTAAGATTCAGCCGGTCATGCGCCAATACGGTGAACCCGGCCACCCTCCGTCGGTGGTGGCCGGCTGTCCGTATTTGACATTGGGTTGGGGGTGTTTTTGTTAACTTTTAAGATTCTATTATAGGGGGTATTTTGTAAATAAACAAATATAGGGGGTATTTTATAATTTATAAATCCTACATCGTAATACCCGCCAAATTCAACTTTTTTTTAACTTTTTTCAGAAAACTTTTCCCAAAAACACCCAATTGTGAACCAAACGAAGCCATAATCTTTTAAATTTAAATTTTTTCTTTTTTAATTTTAACAAAAAATTGTTTACTTTTTTTTAATACAATCAGGAATTTGGTTTTCTCTATTTCTATCGACCAAAACCGAACCAGTTTTCTGGATAACCAGAAAACCACTTCAATTCTCGGTTTGGATTGGTTTTTACATTTTTCTGAGCACCCCTACATTTGGGTGTTGGGGATACACCTCGAAAAGAACTCACCGAAGTTAGCGAACTCCATCGGAATAGGCACAGAGTCACTGAGCCAGTCGTCGTCTACTAAACGGGAGTGGTAGAAATGAGAACTTTTTTGTTCAATGCCAGAAATAGGTCGACTATGAGGGTTTGCAAAAATGAGTGAAATAGGGTAAGTTTTAAGGAAAAAACCGTGGGAATTGTGAATGAAAAACTAGTGGCAAAAAATGGATGGGAAAAGTTTTAGGCAAATTTTTTTGTTTTGTTTTTTATATACACCAAGTAATCCTAAAGTAATTGCTAGTTTCATTTTAATTAGTAGCATGTCCTCAAGTAATCCTAAATTACCCAAGAAATCCTAAAGTAATAATTTTACTCAATGTAAAATAAATATTGGGTAATGTTTCCTATCCTAGTGTATATATAGACAATTAAAATACTATAACCACAAATAGATAATGTTGTCTTGTGATAGACCATGTCCTCGAGTTTTACGTGTATCACATTCTTATGATGTAAATACCTGCATCCACTATTTAAAAAACTGAACCGTACCTGTTGGTCAGACCAATCGAATCGGCACCTGGTACCTTTAACGGTCCGGTTCTCTCTGAAAACCGGAATACACATCGGCCTGGTTTTCATATTGATGCCGAAGTTAATGAACAAGAAGAACTTCGTAGGGTGGATGTGGAACCAAAGGTTGTTCAATTTGTGGAGCCAAGTAGTAAAGTTAGTGATGATGATATCGATTTCATAAATGATGATAGTCAAAATGAGATGAGCGATGAAAATTTTTCTAATGACAATGAAGATGTAGATAAGTTAAAGATGATATTAAGAATTAATAATATTTATTATTGTTATTCAAGAGTCAAACTTCTACGACATTATTTTTTACATTGACACTGCTTTTAATTTTGATTTCTTTTATTACTGATTGGTTTTACACTTTCAGTTATTGTCATATAAATATAAAATTACATTAAAAATTAAATTCTAACATACTAATGGCAACGATTTTAAGAAAATCGACACCAAAACGTTTTCATGACGAAACATAGATTGCGTTGCAATATGTTTTTGGCGTTGTTTTTTATATTTGCGTCGCCTAAAATGTTTTCTAACGAACTATTTGTTGCATAGCCAGATGGATTTTGCGTCATTTTTTATATTTGTGTCGCCAAAAACGTTTCCCGATGAACGATTTTTTGCGTAGCCAGATGGATTTTGCGTCATTTTTTATAGTTTCGTCGCCAAAAAGGTGTTACGATGGGCCTTTTGTCGCATAGCTAAACTTCGTTGGCGTTGCTTTCTATATTTTCGTCGCTAAACACATTTTATGGCACTGTGCATTTGCATTGCTAAATACTTTTGGCTATGTTTTCTATTATTTTTGTCTCTAAAAAGAATCCACGGCAACATATGGTTACGTCGCGAAAAAATTTGGGCGTCGCTATTTGTATTTTCGTCGTAAAAAACATTATGTGACGAATTATGTCGTCACTAAGTCTGTCGCCAATTTGCTTCCCACCACCTCGTGTGAGGATTAGAAAGTCCACGAAACTATTAGCAACCAATTTCATATTTCGTCGCTAATAGTTACCTTTGGCCACGAATTTTGAAATCGTAGCTAAAAGCTTTTTTTGTTGTAGTGTAGCTACCAACCTAGCCTTATACCTAGGAGGGTCAGAAGAGGTTATACCTTCCTTCAGTTTGAATAACCATCTGCACTCAACCAGTTTCTGGTCTTTGAGATTTGGAACCAAAGACCAGGTTCCATTTACCTTAAGGGACAGCATCTCTTCCTCCATTGCAGCTTGCCATTGTTCTCTGTCTTTGGATCTGACTGCCTCTTCATAGCAGTCTGGTTCTATCCTTTGAACTTGGGCCCCTGCCACCAAGGCTGTGTAGATCAGGTCAGCATAGGAATATCTGGTTGGTGGCCTGATCTCTTTTCTACTTCTGTCTCTGGCTAGTTGTTATTGTGCTAAGGGGTCAGATGGTGTTCATCAGATTCTACAGCCTGTTCTTGTTCCAACTTAGGATCTAAGTCTGATCCATCAACACCAGCTTTCAGTTGCTCTGAGTCAGATTGAGGTGCAGCAAGCTCCACCTCAATTTGGACTCTTTCGGGTTGATCCTGATTAATTGGTTGACTGCTAGCTGATCCTACATCAGGGTTAGTGATTTTGCAAGGAAATAGTTTTTCATTAAAGATTACATCCCTACTGATAATTATCCTAACCCCAGGGGCACTCCTTTCCCAAAGTTATACCTTTTTGTTCCCTCTTGGTAGCCTAGGAACGCACACCTAAGAGACCTAGGTTCTAACTTCCCTTCATTGGTGTGCACATAGGCAGCACACCCAAAGGTTCTCAAATATCCTAGGTTAGGTTTCCTATTGCTTCATCTTTCTTCAGGGCACATAAAAGAGATTGCACTTGAGGGGCTCCTATTAATCAAATCGGTTGCAGTGTTGAGGGCTTTTCCCCAAAAGGATTTTGGTAGGTTGGAGGTGAAAAGAAGACACCTAACCTTTTCTAAAAGAGTCCTATTCATCCGTTCAGCAATCCCATTCTGTTGGGTGTTTTCCTAACTGTTCTATGCCTTAGGATGCCCTGTTCAGAGCAATAAGAGTCAAATTCCAGGTTACAGAACTCTAAACCATTGTCCGTCCTAAGAGTTTTAACCTTTTTGTCAATTTGGTTTTCTACTAGGACCTTCCAACTCTTAAACTTACTTAAGGTCTCATCCTTAGTCCTAAGTAAAAACACCTAAACCTTCCTACTAAAATCATCTACTATGGACATAAAATAACTACTTCCCCCATGTGATTTGACCCTTTCAGGTCCCCACAAGTCAGCATGCAAATATTCTAAGCAGTTGGCAGCCAGGTGAGTTCTCTTTTGGAAACTCAACCTGTGTTGCTTGCCCATGATGCAGGTCTCACAAAAATCAAGAGGTTCAATTGGGTCCTTACCAAACAGGCCCTGCTTATGAAAGATGTCCATGCCTTTTTGGCTCATATGGCCTAGTCTTAAGTGCCCTTTTTCAGTAACATTCAAGTTAGTAGAAACCAAAGCAGAATTTAAACAGTCAGAATAATTGGATCCAGACAGAATATACAAGCCATTCCTTTTTATCCCTTCAAGCAAAACACTGTTATTTTTATAGACATAAAGGCAACCAGATTCATCTAAAATACCTAATGAAATTAGGTTTCTCTTTAATTCTGGAATATACCTTACTTTAGTCAACTTGACAGTTTTACCATTGTTTAGTTTTAAGGTAATGCTGCCTATCCCTTCAACTTTACAGGCATTATTATTCCCCATATACACAATTTCTAACCTATTCTCCTCATAGTCTTGAAACCAATCTTTATTGGGACTCATATGAAATGAGTACCTAGAGTCCATTACCCAATCATTTATTTTTTCTGTTTTAGAAACAGTTAGAACTTCAGATTCTTCTAAACTGGACTTAGAGATTGCTAGGTTGCTTTCAGTGTTCCCTTGTTTTTGTTTCTTAAGCCAAGCATAACAATTCTTTTTCAAATGGCCAGACTTATTACAGAAGAAACACTTCCGGGTTTCTCCTTTGGCCTTACGGTTTTGTTTTCCCTTTGTCTTATTCCTAGGTCCACTATG